GGGCTCGAACCCACGAACCGTGAGATCACGACCTGAGCCACAGCCGCACGCTTTAACCGACTGAGGCGCCCCAAATTAATAACTGTTTAAGTATATCATACCACCTTTACTGTTAAACTTATTCATCAAATGTTATTAAATTTGAAAATTTGTCGATTAGGGTTTTTTTTCCTTCCGTAGAATTCTTGAAGCTTGGAGCTTGCTGAAAATGTATAAGCAATTGTAAAGAGTTCTGAAAATCTTTCAAAATACGTTAAAAAAAATCTAAGTGATGTGAGCTGTGAGTGCGTTCCCATACCTTTGATATGATGTCGGGTAGCTTGGGGACCCTACAGGCCTCCAGCTTCCAGAAAGCCCGGGGCAGTCCATCGGAGGAAGGCCCAGGGCCCTCTCCAAACCGGGAGGAGGAAGCCACCAGTCACCGCAAGGCCCTGGGAAGCTGGGGTCTTCTAACACCTCCCCTCTCCCGGATCCCCAGCACAGAGCCCTGCACAACAGGCATGTAGCAGGAACAGCCCAGGCGCCAGCGGGGGCGCTCGATCCCGCGATACCCCCGGCTGGCTATCCTGGTGGGTCAACCAAGCTTCTCCCCTGCCTTCAGCTGCCACCTGTGTCCCCTCTTCATCGAGGGCAAAGAGAGCAGCCGAAGCTGCAGGTGGCCAACCTGCTGGAAGCTTCAGAGCCAACTCTGGAAGCAGGAGCTTGTCATTAATGATAAAATGAGGCTTTCGTGAATTATTTGTGGAGTTCAGGGATCCAGGCCACGTGTACCCGAGGCCTTTCACAGACCTGCGTTCTCCTGTGTTCACCAGCCTCATCAAGGGCAGCTGGTTTATCTTCTCAATTGTGCAAACAGGAGATATAAGTCCTGTGACCCACGCACCTAAGCGGGTGGGCAGTAAATTGGCCCAGCCCCGGGGGGGTGGGGGGGTGGGGGGAAGGCGGAGGGGAGGTGTCCGAGGAGGATGTGGGGAGGGGCCAGGCTTCCAGGGTCTGGGTCTGGCTCAGCCACCAGAGACTGCATAACCTTAAGTCATTCGGCCTCCCAAGGCCTCTGGCCTCCACCCCTGTGGGGGGTGGGAGGCTCAGAGGAGATGGGCCCCCTTGGAAAATCAAAACAGGGTGTTCAGTAAACAGAAAGCAATGGGTTTAACAGCTGTCCAGTCCAGGCTTCTGAAGTGGGGGTCCCCAAGATTCAGGCCAGACTTTTCCTGTCTGACCTCCACCCCCTTCCTGGAAGGGAATAGAATACAAAACCTTCTTCTTTTTATTAAACAAAATCTTTTTTAACGTTTATTCACTTTTGAGAGACAGAAAGAGACAGAGTGCGAGCAGGGGTGGGACAGAAAGAGAGGGAGACACAGAATCCGAAGCAGGCTCGAGGCTCTGAGCTGTCAGCACAGGGCCCGATGTGGGGCTCGAACCCATGAACTGTGAGATCACGACCTGAGCCAAAGTCAGACACTTAACGGACTGAGCCACCCTGGTGCCCCAAGCTTCTTCCTTTTTAAACCTCTGAGAAATACTGGCCCAGTTGTCATACATTTTGGGCCCATCAGACTCAATACAGGAAATATGGAAAATCAGACCAGCGCACAGATCAACAGAACACGCAGGCGGGTCAGTGGCCTCAGCATCACTGTCTCCATCGGCTGGAGTTCTCGCTGGCTGGGCCAGAGTGAGCCTGGGGAGAGGCTAATGCAGAAGGAAGGAGCCAGCCAGGAACTGAGGCAAAAGACAGAGGCCCTGCTGTGCAGCTTGGGGAGAGCCCCCCCCCCCCGCCAGC